AAACCTAGCTGCACCAGACAAAAACAGGTTGCTCCTGGACCCATCAATTTACCAAAGTTGAACCACAGATGCATAAACTGGTCTAAATAAATAAAATCTGAAATCTCTGATGACTTCGTCATGATTTAAATGATTAATGCTGCATTCTGTAAAACAGAAGCGGAACATATGTGCATAATCTCGCTGTACCCTGTTTGATGACATCAAGAAAACATGCCAAATTACACCATGTACACCCAACACAGGGACTAGTGATGTAGTATGTTACATAAAGCTTTGAGGTATTGAGTGTGTTCAAAGATCGAAACGTAAGGGCTAGTCAAACATAAACTTAAAATGTTTTAACATGCACTGGGTGCATATAGGTATAAATATTAGGGTGCACTTTTCAATAAAATGTTGCACTGGTGCATGCTTTTTCAGTTAAATCGAGCCCTGGAAAGGATTAAAAGAAAATTAAAGTCAAAGTACATTTCCTTACTTTTGGTTTCTAATCCTAGCAATTAGTCTATTGTTGTGTATTTAAGCTCTTTTGAACTTCTTTAAAGTTTAAGTCAATCTTAAAATATATGGACAGATATTTCAATCAATTTGCAGAGTGACTGAAATTTTTATTAATTTAACCCCGCTAAATTGAATTTGGAACCGAACGCGCAGCATGAGGTTTCAAATGTTAAATTTAGCGTGGTTAAATCTACAGGTAACCTAGCTCTACATTGAAAACACAGTATGTTTATCTCCATTCTACCATGACTAAATAAAACGCGAACTCTTTGGTGTTAGCAAATATACTGAGTGAAGCAGCATGGGTTGAGTTTCGTGTTTTGGGTGGGTTATTGATCTGAATTACAGAATCACCAAACAAAATATGGCGCTGTACATACTCGAGCAGTTTGTTTACACCGTGATACTTCACTCGTACATATGACAGGCATTGAAAGCATATAAGCACGGCAACTTGGTAAGATAACATGAGGTGGGCATCCCTAACAAAACCAAAGCAAGCTTTGCAAGGCTTTCGCTTTACATTGCGCGTCACCATTACGACATATTGCTCATTGTGACGCAAAAGATATCTGTGCATTTTGTAACCTGTAATTGTAGATATAATTATTTAAGTATGCCTACCGACAATGACTGAAAATAGTACTATTCTATGAATATTAGCTGCCGCAGTGATTCGGCCGTCAAACCAGCTGTTTCAAGCAGAGGGGGTTTATTGTGATTTTATAGCCTCTGATTGACCAATCAGAATCGAGTAAATTCCAAATTCATGGTAGAATGTTGTTTGTCTCGTGTTGAAAAACTTCCCAACAATATCGCAGAGGAAATAGAATGATTCTGTTCAATGCAATTTTGAATGACTATGGTTTTATGCTGCTTTTAGCAATATTCCAGCAATATCACGGTGGGGGACACCAGAAATGGGATTCACACATTGTGAGCATGTGTTGATACGAACCCGGCATGATGAGCGAACGCTTTAACCACTAGGCTACCCAACTGCCCCTTCAGTGCTACAGCAAACGAAGGTAAACAAAACGAAAATATCGTAATAATGATTACAACGAACCGTTATACGTATAATATTAGGCAGTAACCTTGTTCGAGGAATGTATCCGTCAATAGCCACATAAGGCCTTTTACGACAAGCATAGTCGCCTTTTATGGCAAGCATGGGTTGCTGAAGACCTATTCTACCCCGGAATCTTCACGGGTAGCCACATAAGGGAAAAATATCCCATACATCTGACGTCGTACAAAGAAACTTGTTCAATGTCACGTGTCTTTGTAGCAATAACAATCTTATATTTTAAAACATATATAGCGTTTCGTGTTTGTTTCTCAACTCATCACGCAACTTTGTTTCAGGTTTTTCACATAGGTGTCAAATCTCATTGGTCAGCATGGTCAGCTGAGATAGCACACGTGACAACTATTTTCATGATGTCCACGGTTCTTTACAAAAATTAGATAACAATGACCAATCATCTGGGAAGTGCTACCACTAATCAGCTAATTATACCTGTCATAAATTCATTTACAGAGCATCAATTGAATGACGACAAACACACAGGCGTAGTAATTGTTGCATTATATACAAATTAGTTGCCTGAAAAATGTGCTGAACTGTTGGGTTTTGCTATTGAGGTGTATTTTTCCAGATTTTGTGTTAGTGACAAGTTGAACTTTGGTTCAAATAAGGGTATCATTTTGGGTTTTAGTCATCCGTCATAATGTTGGCTGTATTCACAAACCTATTGTTGGTATAATGAGGTATTATGACTTACACACATTGTTTAAATTAAGCACATAAGGGCAGTTGATATGACTATATCTTCTTGTTCAGTTCACACTGATAGTCCATAGTATACAATACATAGATAAGCAATGGCAAAATGGGGTTTCATTTACAGCCTCAAATAAATCAAATATTTTTTAATAGCTTGTGGAAGATGAACAGACAAACAAACCAATATGAAACTGATACATCCTCCATGTTGGCTACTGACCTTCCCTAACAAAATCTTCCCTAATCTTGTGCTAACATAAATCTTCCTTGTTTTAAGTCGTTAACATGGTCGTCTTCAACATAATTAGTAGCACGGTTTTATAGTAAGTATCTTTCAGCCATTGTTTTTAGTACTGATTACTGGCTGAAAAACTGTTCAAACTGTTGCATATAATTGAACATGAATACACAATGCCATTTAGAAAGTGGTCAAATGTAACAAATGTTATATTTGTGATAACACTTTCTTAGTAAAGTACAGATTCTAGTACTATGGGGGTTTGACTCCCAGAGTGAGGCACCCCATCGCCAGCACACAAACAATCAGCGACCTAACCAACTCAGCCACCATTGCATAAATGATCTCAAATCTGTCTTAACTTGTTAAATGTTCACAGTATATTATATTAACATATCACAAACAACTACTACCAGTCTAACAACAATCTCTGCAAATGCAGCCATGTAACTAACTTTTGAATCGAATCATCCACATGGTCCTTGTAGACAGAAGCAGTAGATTAAAAACTTTACATCTCACATCAGGGCATTAACAAGACTAAAGAGATCAGTCTATCATCAAGAGCAATTCTATCAGAATCATGCCTTGGAAAAGCAATGATAGTGAAAAAAGCTGTAGGAAGTCTTAACATGGTAAAGTAGTCTTTCAAAATTTATTTTCAGATGATTTTACACATGGGCCAGTAACAACAACAAGCGGGACAAATCCAAAAGAAATTCTATTTGACTGGGGTTGGCAATATGGACTTAAGTATTAACTGGAATCCTCATTATCACAACAATAATTAATGTTGACATTAGGGCTGGGACGAGTCCAAATTTACTACCTGGGTACCCACCCCCGTATTACCCGACCCTACCCGGGTACCTAGTGTAGGTGTTGGGAGATGTCTCAAAATGCCTGAATGGGAACATTATTAGCATAGCCCTGGCAAAACGTATTAAGATACATATATTAAACAATCTGGTCATTCATATACTGAAGTTGAATTAAGTTATATCTTTATTCAACCATATGAAAAATCAGAAGGAATGGGTGCATAGTCAGAAAGAAATGCGAACATTAGTGACCAGTAGTGTAAACATAGAGTTCTAGATAATTTTTGTCATTAAATAATATATCCCGTGACTAACCACGGGTCCGGGTAGTCCTGTGGGTACCCAGGTCCTACTCAGTACCCACCCGACCCGGGTACCCGAGTTACCCGTCCCAGCCCTAGTTAAAATGGTAAACATATAATCAATGTTGTCACTGAATTCATATCAAGTACATTGACAGTCTGTCATAACCATGCAGGTTAAATGTAATCGGTGCATGAATGACTTACAGTGAGATGTGCAGTGCAGTGCAGCTATGAGAACTACTTGTGCATTCCTCGCTCCCTGCCACTTTATGATTCAAATTCACTGATAACGACAGGAGGAAGTGTCTCTTTGACCCAAAGGTGAACCAGGAAATAAGGGGAGACAATTCATACACACATGCACATTTACACACAAAAAAATGAATATGTGGTACAACACTGTGTTTTGCCCAAGAAAATGAATATTTTGTCATCTTAAACACCAAGGGAGGACACACGTGTATCAGTAGGCTATGTGTACCCCGCCCAATGGCCGCAACCTGTTCCCTCGCTAAGCGAAGCGTGTTTGGACACTGGACTCGCACTAGCCGTTGTGATGCCTGCATCATCAACACAAGATGGGACAAGGAAGGGCTTGCTGGGGCACCCTTTGTTCGCCTCATACTGTATCTCAGTCGGGAAAATATCATTTGAAGCCACAGAGAGTATGTTGCTTGTTCTGACAGCCCCGGGGTAGCCACTACCGGGAAAGATGTCAAGAAGTCCATCTCACGACGACAACGATTTGACAGCGACTCATTCTAACTCTCCAGCCCTTTAGCAACTCCCAAATAGCCCAAACAGTATGCACACTTACCCATTTCTCACATTAATAGGCGATTGCTATTTTCTACATTCACGGTCGAGAAATATTACTGTTTAAGGCTCCTAGCGTAGGATTTTCTTTCGCGGCCCAATGGCGTTTGATCACGTGATTAGATTCTCCCCTGTGGGAGCATTCATTGTTTGTGGCCGCGAAAGTGTTTTCTGTACCGATTTCTTCCGTGTTAAACCAAAATCGCTGTTAGTTCGAACAAGACTGTTGTGGTTTCTTACTTAAAATGTATTTTTGTATCGTAATACGTGTATAATTTATGTTTCATCCGATTTCCACCAACAAACAAAAACATTTGGGCATAAGTTCCTTTAACCGCATAATTAAGTTTCTTGTAATATTTCTTTATACTCCGTTCAAGTACTACATTCATAATATATTTTTTGTCGTCACTTTAGTGTCTCTTTAATATTCTGTCAACGTATGAGATACCCCAAGGAATGAATAAATCAGGACGTGAGGAAACACATTTCAACACATCAAAGAAATACCAATGTGTCAAACTCACCTCTTCTCCTCATGACCGCTCCTATTACTTAGTAACGATACATATCAACTTTCTTGACTCCATATTTGTTCAAACATTTTCAGCTCAGGTCGATCATTGATACATACACAATTTCCCCGAACACTAACACTTAGTCTACTACCTGGGGCCTGACATCATTTTACCGTTTGATCAATATCACGGAATACAATATTTACACTTCCTCGTCGCATGTACACGCCCACAGCAGTCAGCTAGTTAACTACTACGGGAAGGACCTGTTTTATTTGAGCCTGATATGGCCAGCACGTGGGACTGACAAGCGACAATAGTGACGTCGTTTACTTGTGGCGACGTGACATGTGTATCGATGACTGCATGTTTAACGCCCTCCCACGCAAAACAGTCAAGTTCAGGCAATTTCTATGATACAAGGCTTCTAAGAGAGATGTTTGTTTGTGAGTTTTTTTCATGAGTGAGATTTGTTATTGTAATCTGTGTGTGTGTGCCGCACACGCTTAAACATCATTTGCTGATTTCCCCATCAATCTGCTGTGTTTATGTAATCTACACTTGATTATGTACAGAGATGGTCAATATGTGTAGCCGAGATTTGGACGTGGGCAAAGCTAGATGTGTGTTTTCCTGTTCGGGACCCAGTGGATAGTGTAATTGTTTTATTGTGTGTTCAATCGACAAGGGCGTTTATAGTATGGACTGTGATTACACTGTTAACCCGCTAACTGTTTCGGCTTGTGTTTGCCCCAACATGCCGAGAATACCTCTCTCCTGCACCTGACCTGGCCGGTATGTATCAGCACTCTAACGCTGCTTCTCAGGAGATGATACACGGCGGAACCTAGCTGCTCCTCCGCCGGTCTACTCGGTGACGTCACACTCTGGCCACAATGTAAACAACGAATATATTGTAAGAATTTCGACGATGGACAATTGAAGGATTTTTCATAAATTTGACTCTTATAATATTCGATATATAATTACAGATAATTCAAAAGACACACACAGACAGAATTGTATTTAACAAATTTGAACATTTAAAAACTTAGAATTACAGTGGTTAGGTTTTGCCTATATGTTTATCAGAAATAAACGAAGATATTCATTACTAAAACATTTAACTGTTTTCAATTTTAAGACTATGTCCAGTTACCCCCCTCCGACACACACACACACACACACACACACACACACACACACACACATCGTCTCTTTCGTTGTGTCATTTTTATGTTACAATGAATGTATGCAATTTCTTGTATACTTAACAAAAGTTCTTGAAACAATAGTACATACCGTACATATTTAAAGAAACTCAGTCTTTACTACAAAACATAACCCCAAAATATTCATGATCACTAGCTTTCTTGTTCTGTATACATGAAAGAAGACCCTGAAAACAGTAACGTGGATCTTGTCCGAGTCTTCCACACCTTGCTTTCGACCTAATTCGGTTCAAGTCCTTGATTTCGTGTACCGTACGTCAACAATTGTCCGACCACTGTCATTGTGCCCTTTAATGAAACAATGTCGGCATTTAGGTCCAGGACTACTTGAATAACAAAGAGAGAAAAAGAGAGAAATTAATATATTTGTGTGGTATCATACTTAGCAAGTTAGAAGAAAAGAGACACAACATGACGCGCAAGTTATCTTCGTGTATACATTTAGTGAAGAGGGGCGTCAGATAGGAGAGTCTATCCTGGGTTCAAACTGTGTACAGTATTTACACATAACATCACAGGTAATAAACGCGACACCGTGAAGCAGTACGGACGAACAGGCTCGCGTTGCCGCATGTAGCTAACTTCGCAGCATCACTGACAATGAGTCAGTGAGTGAGTATGGTTTTACGCCGCAGTAAACCACATATGTTACTGAGGCATGATGCATTTAGTGAGTACTGTGCTTACAATGTATCATCAATACTCCAGCATATCAAGAGTGGGCTTCTCACATTGTACCCATGTTGGGAATCAAACCCAGGCTACCAGCATTACCAACTAGGCTACCCAGACACGCCATTGCTGTACTTGTTTAAACTTCAAGAAAGTTGGAAGCGTAAATGCAGAAACTGTCAAAATAGTCAAAATGCAATATCGTCTGAGGGAGTGAGTGAGTGAGTGAGTATGGTTTTATGCCGCTTTAAGCAATGTTCCAGCAATATCAAGGCGGGGGACACACATTGTACCCATGTGGGGAATTGAACCCGGGTCTTCGGCGTGACGAGCGAACGCTTTAACCACTAGGCTACCCCACTGCCCCTACTGACAATGGAACATCTTGTGTCACCGAGGGTATTGTACTGTGTTTCCAAACAGAGACGTTAGACAACGACAAGCTGGAATGAGATATCCACTGACGGGCCATCAATCGCCATTGCCTCTCACCTTGCAGATTACCGTTAGAGCAGCGACCCGCATGAAGACACACATACATTTCTAGGTGGGTGTACTTAGACACTAACGTCGGCTTGCAAGAAGGCAGAAACAATGTTTGTAACATTGGTTAACTCGATTTTATTTTTCGTGTGTTGCGACGCCATTTAGAGCTGTTGAAACTTGGTATCGCCAACGTCATGTGACACAATTTTACACAATGTAGCCCGTGCCTCCATTGTTTCTCCACGGGATGTGCCGCTATTTTCTTACATACCTGTGGGTGAAGAACCCATTTGAGATAACTGGTATCAAACATATGTGTGAGATCGAATTCAAGGCCAGTGATTGGCTACTCCATGGTGATGACCAGAGGTCAGATTATGATGGACTACTTTCCTGATCGTAAGTCATTGATAAGTTGCTCGTGCTTCAGTCGAATGTCAACCAACGTCTGTGTTAAACGATATGGTGACACTATGGTATACGATGTACCCCGAGCTTCCATTCTTTCTCCAGGGGATGTCCCGTTATTTTACACAATGTACTAGTCAATGTCACCTTATTTTACACAATGTACTAGTCAATGTCACCTTATTTTACACAATGTACTAGTCAATGTCACCCTATTTTACACAATGTACTAGTCAATGTCACCCTATTTTACACAATGTACTAGTCAATGTCACCTTAGTTTACACAATGTACTAGTCAATGTCACCTTATTTTACACAATGTACTAGTCAGTGTCACCTTTTTTACACAATGTACTAGTTAATGTCACCTTATTTTACACAATGTACTAGTCAATGTCACCTTATTTTACAAAATGTACTAGTCAATGTCACCTTATTTTACACAATGTACTAGTCAATGTCACCTTATTTTACACAATGTACTAGTCAATGTCACCTTATTTTACACAATTTACTAGTCATTGTCACCTTATTTTACACAATGTACTAGTCAATGTCACCTTATTTTACACAATGTACTAGTCAATGTCACCCTATTTTACACAATGTACTAGTCAATGTCACCCTATTTTACACAATGTACTAGTCAATGTCACCCTATTTTACACAATGTACTAGTCAATGTCACCTTAGTTTACACAATGTACTAGTCAATGTCACCTTATTTTACACAATGTACTAGTCAATGTCACCTTATTTTACACAATGTACTAGTCAATGTCACCTTATTTTACAAAATGTACTAGTCAGTGTCACCTTTTTTACACAATGTACTAGTTAATGTCACCTTATTTTACACAATGTACTAGTCAATGTCACCTTATTTTACAAAATGTACTAGTCAATGTCACCTTATTTTACACAATGTACTAGTCAATGTCACCTTATTTTACACAATGTACTAGTCAGTGTCACCTTTTTTACACAATGTACTAGTTAATGTCACCTTATTTTACACAATGTACTAGTCAATGTCACCTTATTTTACAAAATGTACTAGTCAATGTCACCTTATTTTACACAATGTACTAGTCAATGTCACCTTATTTTACACAATTTACTAGTCATTGTCACCTTATTTTACACAATGTACTAGTCAATGTCACCCTATTTTACGCTATGTTCCGCGCTATTAAAATTGTTTTTGGTTTCTATACAGGCTATTTCCCATGCTTTAACACAATCTTGTGCGAGTTTTAAATATTTCTGAGGCTATGTTCCGTGTTATGACAGCAAACCACTTTCCTAGTCAGCTTAGGGAAGAGTGAGTGAGTGAGTGAGTTGGGCCTTAACGCCGCTTTTAACAGTATTCCAGTTATATCCAGGCGTGTCAACTTAATGTGGGAGGAAAGCCCGAAGTGATGCAGGTCTCAGACCTTTACCATGTTGGTGAAACCCATGAGCACGGGTATGGTGCACAATTAAGATCTATTTATTGTCTTTGGTGGTAATTTATACACAAATAAAGATTTTTTCCAAATAAAAAAAGGGGGGGGGGGGGGGGGGGGGAGGGAAACGGAAACATGCGAGTGGTGACGAACGCGAGCATAATGCGCCACTCGAAGGAAACGCCCGGATGTTGTGCTTGCGATGTCGGAGCAGGTCTTCCGCTCATTGTATATTTGTTGTTTATGTTTTATACTTTGTGCAATAGTTGTTCCGGAACAGTGACGCCGATCGTGTCTTTCATTTCCCCCAAGAGCTACTTCCCTCGAGAAGACAGTATCAGAAAACACAAGGTTACTTGTGCTTACTGTGTGGGGTCACTGCACGGCACAAGCGAGTTATTTGACAGGGGTAACACAATGTAAGGATGTATTTATCAGGAAAATGTCCCCATACACATCCCTACTTCGTCGTATATCCATAGTGATGTAAACAGATGTTACCACAATATATATCTGCTCGGAGTTTATCGAAAACGTTAAATTGTCCCAGAAAGTTTCTTGAACAAAGTAATTATGCTTCATATTGTTGAAAGAAAAGAAATGGTCTGCCACATAAAATAAATAGTTTTGATTGAAAACACCGGCCACCACCTACATGAAAAAGTCGGTCCTTTAAGTCGGAACTTCAAGTGATATGCATCACCTGAGTGATTGTGTGAATCTTTAGGGGAGTACAAGATTATTTGACTAAGACAGAACAATTCTGTTGATCACGATTATTATACACTATCTTTAAGTGATATTTTAGAAGCTATGTCAAGAAGACACTTGCTTGATAAAGGTACAAGCACCTTCGCATAGTAATAATAAAAGAAATGCTTAAATTAATAAATCATCTTTCTTCTTTAACACTACACGAGTGTTGTACGTTTG